TGTCCATAAGTATTCACAGCCTTTGCTCATACTTTGTTGAAGCACCTTTGGCAGCAATTACACCCTCAAGTCTCTGGGTATGATTCCACAAGCGTGGCACACCTATTTCTGGGCTGTTTCTCCCATTCTTCTTTGCAGAACCTCTCATGTTCCATCAGGTTGGATGGAGAGCGTCAGTGCACAGCCATTTTCAGATCTCTCCAGAGATGTTCAATGGGGTTCAAGTCAGGGCTCTGGCTGGGCAAATCGAGGACATTCACAGAGTTGTGCCGAAGCCACTCCTTTGTTATCTTGGCTGTGTGCTTCCGGTCGGGTCGTCCTGTTGGAAGATGAACCGTCGCCCCAGTCTGAGGTCCAGAGCGCTTTGGAGCATGTTTTCATCGAGAATGTCTCTGTACATTGCTGCATTCATCTTTCCCTCAATCCTGGCTAGTCTCCCAGTTCCTCCTGCTGAAAAACATCCCCACAGCATGATGCTGCCACCACCATGCTTCACTGTAGGGATGGTATTGGCCAGGTGATGAGCAGTGCCTGGTTTCCTCCAGACATGACGCTTGGCATTCAGGCCAAAGAGTTCAATCTTTGTTTCATCAGACCAGAGAATTTTGTTTCTCATGGTCTGAGAGTCCTTCAGGCGGGCTGTCATGTGCTTTTTTATTGAGGAGTGGCTTCCGTCTGGCCACTCTACCAAACAGGCCTGATTTGTGGAGTGCTGCAGAGATGGTTGTCCTTCTGGAAGGTTGTCCTCTCTTCATAGAACAACGCTGGAGCTGTCAGAGTGACCATCGGGTTCCTGGTCACCTCCCTGACCAAGGCCCTTCTCCCCCGATCGCTCAGTCTGGCTGGGCGGCCAACTCTGAGTCCTGGTGGTTCTAAACTTCTTCCATTTCCAGATGATGGAGGCCACTGTGCTCATTGGGACTTTCAATGCTGCAGAAATCTTTCTGTACGCTACGCCAGATCTGTGCCTCGATACAATTCTGTTTCAGGGGTCTACAGATAATTCCTTGGACTTGGACATGGCTTGGTTTATGCTCTGATATGCACTGTCAACTGTGATACCTTATATAGACATGTGTGTGCCTTTCTCAATCATGTCCAATGAACTGAATTTAGCACAGGTGGACTCCAATCAAGTTGTAGGAACATCTCAAGGATGATCAGGGGTAACAGGATGCACCGGAGCTAAATTTTGAGTGTCATGGCAAAGGCTATGAATACTTATGTACATGTTATGTTTTCGTTCTTTATTTTTAACAGATTTGCTAAAATTTGCAAAAAACAGTTTTCACTTTGTCATTATGGGTTGTTGTGTGTAGAATGTTTAGGAAAATAATGAATTTAATCCATTTTGGAATAAGGCTGTAACATAACAAAATGTGGAAAAAGTGAAGTGCTGTGAATACTTTCCGGATGCACTGTATATTAGCTCAACGGCACAAAACACAAATTTGCCTCAGACAATTTTACAATCTGTAAACATCCTCTGTCCTTAAACCTCACAACGGTACAGGAAAAAAACCCATAAATGGACTTTAGCAAGTGGATATAGTAGAAGAACTAAAAATAAAAAAGTAAAGGTATCAACAAAATATATGCGAATACTACTATTGTTGATAGTAGCAGTGTATGTGAGGGAGGACCAGGCTCCAGACACCATGATCCTTGGAAACAGATGAGACAGCACAAAGACTAGTAGCAGTGTATGTGAGGGAGGACCAGGCTCCAGACACCATGATCCTTGGAAACAGATGAGACAGCACAAAGACTCTGGAAAAAGTTGAATTACCGATCGGCATTAATGGAACATGAATTCATACAGATGGAGAGAGAACAAAGGAGAGAGGAGCTCAGTGCGATCTGTAATGGAAAAGTCTCTCGGCAGTCTAGACCTATAGCAGCTTAGCTAAGGGCTGGTCCTGGTTTACCAGCCCTTATTGTTGGAATGCATTAACGATGCATTCCAAGTATTGTTCTTCGAATCTTTATTTCTTCATCTTCATCTTCTTCTTCTATTTCTTCCGCGCCACCTTTCAACTCCTTCACACTTTCAGCTATTAAAACCGTTCAAATATTAAAATGTTCAGCTCCTTTCTGGCTTGAGGGCTATGACTTTTCAGCTTTCTACCTCTTATGCTTGAATTTATATAAATCAATAATCGTTAATATTTTAACATGGTTTTCAAATGGAGTTTGCTTTTCAAATCCTCTTCAACTTCTTCAACTTTCAGATTTTTCAGCTTCGCCAATCTTTCAGCTACAGACACCATTTCAACTCTCAAATGTTGACACAAGTCTTAACTATTTTATGAAAAAAACTGCTTCTTGATATCTATTGTACTTTTTTCATAATCACTGATTATGTTTCACTAGTTCTTCGCTCCGTTTCTGACTTTTACATGAGTGTGTATTGCGTCTGCTAGAGTGGAGAGCTCCAGGGCTAGAGTGTGGGGCATCGCAGGAATCTGGTTAAAAAAAGATGGAACTTCTGTCCTTGCAGCCAAAGTATACACTCTAGAGGCTTCATTTCTTCAGATTAATGAGGGTATGGTTGTGCTGATTGGATTAATGTGTTCATGGAATCCCAGAGTTTTTTAGTTTTGGCGCAAGGAGTGTTTGAGTGACACAACCTCTGCCAAAAGCCCCATAGGCTCCAATACAAATCTGCCGACATATTTCTCAGAAAAATCCACAAGGTACACGTTTTGTCAACGGCCATAGGAGCCGTATTTATTACCGGACAGACATAAAAACACATCCACGCGTTCGGTAGAGTCTTGTGTCTCTTACAAACGCCGTATTTTTTAGATAGCTGTTATAGTTTTGCGCTGGTTCTCATTTGTTTGAGGTGTGGATTCTGTGTAACTCGCTGTCCTGTGTCTGCACTTTTGCAGCCGCACAGGTGCGTCGTTGTCGTGGTTACGAGCACTCACATACTGCAGGATCTGTCTGTGGCTCACAGCTGCTCGCTCCTATGACCTGATTAGTGGAGTCACATGACGCAGCTATGCTTTCTGTCAACAGACCAATATGATAAAGACACTAGCCCCCCCCTCCCCCCTCCCCCCTGACCTCATCTTACTGTTAATCACTCTCAGTCAGTCAGTGAGTCTAATTGTGCTCTCCTCTCCCTCTCTTCCTAACCAGCACTCACTTCCTCACCCTCTCACCCTCCCTCCCTCTATCTACACCCCCCCAACCCACCCAATCCAATAATTTCAAAATAAAAGCCACATGGAGGGAATTTTTACTGTAATGTTTGTGATGAGGCCTATTAATTAAAAACTTCTTAGTTTGAATAACAAACATTCTGTCTCCCACTACGAATATTACTCGTACTTCTAGTACTACAACTGATACTTCTACTACCATACTACTAGTATTTCTACTGCTATTAATACTACAACTACTACTAATGTTATTACAAATACGACTATGGCTAATAGTATTACAGCTGTTTCTACTGCTATTGATACTAAACCTACTATTACTGCTAGTACTACTAATACCACAATTATAACTAATACTACTACTAATATTACTACAAACAATTTTAAACAAATTTAAGCTCCTGCAACTTCTGTTTTTAGAAAATCTATTGAAATTCAGCTTCCCCACTTTTTCACTATTCATTTCTGTATTTTTTTGCAATATTTCAAATTTATTTCAGCTGTTTTCATTTCTGCTTTTTCAGCAAATCTATTGAAATTCCTTTCAGCTTCTCCCATTTCTGTATTTTCAGCAATTTCAAATTCATTTCAGCTTTTCTAATATCTATAATTTCAGCAAATGTATTCAAATTCCCTTCAACTTTCTGTATTTTCAGCTATTTTAAAAAGTTCATTTCAGCTTTCAGCTTTTTGCATTCCAACGCATTTTCAGCAGGAAATGCATTTTCTAGTTATAAGTGTTATCAAACAACAGAGGAGCTTGATTACTTAAGGCTCTGGCTCACATCCTACCTTTTAAGACTCTAGGAATCACAAGTAACCCAGCGTTTAAGGAGCGCGATATATATAAATATATAAAGTGACCAATGCATGTACAAAAATGTATGCACTACTTTGAAACCGGATGTGCCTGATGTTTTAAAAGTTATGCAGTTGAAAAAAGCTCTCCATAAAAGTTAAGACATATCCTGATAAACAATAGCTCTTAGATTCTTAATGGTGGTGCTGGTTGCCAAGACAATGCTAGAGAAACATAATACGTACATAATTAGAACATTGATTTAGGATGTGTTCTGGCCCAGGAAACTGCAGGTCATCCAGGTTTTGTTGTCTTTAACTGCTTCCAGATCATCTAGCACAGGGTGTCTTGAATCCGAGTAGAGTACAATTAAATCTCAAGACTTTTAAGGCATTCAGGAGCCAAATTTGTGTCAGAAAGCTTGGTCTCAGTTATGGTTCCTCCAACAGTATTTTGACGCAAAACACACAGCTAAAAACACCCGTGAATGGCTAAGAGCAAAACAGTGGAGCATTCTGGTGGGCTTCTATGAGCCCTGATATTGATAATCTGTGGAAGGAGATGAACCATGAAGTCTGGAGAAGGTACCCTTCAAATCTGAGACAGCTAATATCTGAATAACAATACCAAAATACCTGTTGACAGGTGCAAAAGTCTCATTGAGAGTTACAGAAATTGCTTGATTGCAGTGATTTCCTCAAAAGGTTGTGCAACTAAATGTTAAGTTCAGGGTACCATCATATTTGCCCAGGCCATTTCTATTTCATAGTTTGTTTATAATATTATTATTATTGGAAGGGTACCAACAATTTTGTCCACTTATGTACTGTATGCAGCACTACGTACTTTGTAAGGGCAGCTGCAGTATGTACTGAAAGGGGGAAAACAGTATGCGATTTGGAACTCAGGTTATGAGACTCACCCTAGTAACAGGAGCCTACTCGTGGTCTCTGGGGTAGACAAGTTTCAAAATAAAAGCACTCCATAACAGGAGCATAAAACTGGATTCTGGAGCACTGAAAACGTAAAAAATACAACCGCATTAAGTTTCCTTCTTCAACGTCTCTCCTTTCATCGTTACCCTCTTTCTTTCTTCCTTTCATTTTCATTTTTCTTTTACTCTACGTTTACAGCCTTTCATATGCTTTCAGATTTATTTTGGTCAATAACCTCGAAAAGGGTTAGAATTGAATTGAAATCTCTGTGTTTAAGATAGGGTTCTCAGTTTCTCTGTCTACTTCCGACTCTCATTTCCAACGGACTCATCTCAAGTGTCCCCTGAAGACCGTCTGGCACCAGTCGCAGGTTTTCTGGCTACTGGACTCACAATTTTAGATTAAGTTAGGATCGCAGAGCCTCCAACTGCCGCACGTCCACCACATTTTTTTAAATTGTCCCTAATTGTTGTGAAAGCATGCAGCCAATGATCCCTATGCTGGAGCTCATCTGAGCTTTCCTCCTGTTCTGCACTGAGTTCGGCACTGTTGACCAAGGCCACACTCCGCTCTAAATTTGGTACCCCTCCCACTGAACCCCTCCTGCGCGTCCGTCACAGCCTCAGATTCCCTCACTAACCCCCCACCCTCAGACGCACACATGCCCCTGTCTGTGTGTTCGCCCAGAGTGGGGAGCGTCCGGCGACCAGGCAGCCCGGCGAACTGTCACATAGCCTTTGGCATTTGGCTTTTGGATGGTTTACACTTTCCTTTTGGATCAATACCTCTGTTGTTGTTGCTGTTTCTAGCGTGCTGGGAAAAGGGCCAGACAGGTAAGCAGGACATGTTGTTAAAGTTGTCCACATATTGGGATAGAACTGTGTGTTGAAAGGGCAGTTGGGCCAGTTTCTCTTGCTGATATGTGTTTGACATTAGAATTACCACATATCGAGATACAATGATACTGCGATCCTTTTAGTGCAGGACATTGGTCCACTTACAACAACAAAGTAAACCAGAGTACAAACAAGTCCTGAAAGGAGTTAAGAAATTGAGTGAAGGAATGTTCTGTGTCATGGTTGTGTTGTGATTGTTGCTGCTCTGGTAATCAGATAATTCCATGTTGTATTTCACTTGAAGGGTCATGCTCCTGATCCTGCACGTGATTGAGTGTTGGAGGGAATGTGGTGAATAAGTTAAGTCAGAAAGAAGAGGACAGCTGTGAGGATCTGCCTGGAGCTAAATTTATATGCTGTGTCATGTGTCCACCAGACCGACTCTATCAATCAATTTATCCATCCATTAATCTATCAGTCCACCTATGCCTCCACCCATCTCTCTCTCTCTATGCCTCTATCTATCCAATACATATCTATCTATCCAACTACCCCAATACTAAACCTTTTATCATTCCATCCATCTATTGTTCTATCCACCTTTCGAACCATCTATCTGTCTATATCTTTATATAAAATACAATCCCGCCATCTTTCCATCTATCTATCTATCTATATATCTATCCGTCTGTCCGTTTATATTTATATATCTACATCTATCTACCACTTGTAATCCTTTTTCTTTATCTATCTATCTCTCTGTCTTGTATCCAGATATATATATATATATATATATATATATATGTTCTATATGTATTGACATGTTTGCTCCTGAGTCAATCTGTGACATCCGTTTGGGAGTTTAAAGGGTAGAAGTGAAAAAGGTGTCAGTTAAATAGCCAGCAGGGTGAGGCGACACAAGGCATACCAGCCAAAGCAGAGTGGGTGGTGGGAAGGGGGGTTCACAGTGCGAACCCGGCATGCCTTTATGACGCCGGGATCAGACGCTGAGCCGTGGGTTGGCGGACAGAGAGATCAGCTGATCCCGCGGGGCTAAATTGGTCCTGCTAGCAGTAGAATTGGAGATGTGGAGGGTAAAGAGCTTTTTTTATGATGATGCAACCGAGAACATCTCAATAAATGAACATCTCAGTGAACCATTAGAAATTACATTTTGAAACCAAAATTTTTTGTCTTTTACAATAATTTGATTTTCATCTTCTTCTTTTGTGCACATATTCATTGTCTCGAAATAGAATCTTAGACACTTGACTCACTTTTCAAGTTGTGGCGCCAAACAGTGAATGTATTACAGTAACAGGACCAGTATCTTAACATTAGGTACAACAATTTTGTACCAGATGGTAAACACTATGACTTGTTGATCCCATTCATAACGTATCATCATGTAAAAGTTTGACAGGGTTAGGGGGTAATCGGGCGAACGAGTAGTAGCGGTAACCGAACGGAAGAACGGCACTGCATGCACAAAACAACTTGTGAACGTGTTGTTGTTTTTTTACTACACATAGAGAAATAAAATTATATACATAAATATATACATATATTTTAAATAGTCATTATAGTATTTTCCCAACTGCCAACCTTACCATCCCAATACAGTAGTTGTTGTTCTGCTACAGTTGTGTACGGTTTAGATTCCCAATGATTTGCATGCATGAAGTGAAACAGCAGTTTCACACTGTGCAAACCAAATATTTGTGTTGGACTTTCGTAAGTCCTCCTGTGCCGTCAGATTTTATTGTTCCGTATATTGTGATTCCTTGTAGCTCGAAGAAGAGTTAGTTATTATTGTACGTAGATTCCAACACTCATCTCGCTCCGTTGGAATATTCAGCCGAGCTGCTGTGGGCTGCAGGGCTACAATTAGCCAGTGGGTGGTTAGTTTAAATTTAACAAGGAGGATCGTGGGTGGGCGTTAGTATCCTGCTCTTTTCCCCCGAAATCTGCTCGTGGGATTTAGCACAGCTCCTCTGTGGTGAATAATAATGCAGGCATCTAAGTTAAAAAGTAGAGTGCAGAGAAATGCAGGGATCTCATGTTACTGTCTAGAATCCATTTCACAAGCCAAAAATAATTCAAGCAGGAGGACATTTCCATGGCAACAGCTAACACGTAAATCACCTTGCAGTGCTTTCCCTCACCTTTCCCACCTATGCTGCCAGATGTGATGACATACTGGTAACTGTGCATAAAGGAAACAAAATGACCAGGTTCCCCATCATGACTCTCACTCTCTCATCTGGGGCAACAGGTGGCGGTGACATGCAACCAAGAATAAGAGTGGAGGCTTTGTCCCAGGAGGACACGCGGTGTTAAAAAACCCAATAGCAGAACATCTGTTTGTTGGGTTGCTGTTATCCACTTTTCCAGGCAGATGTAATATTTAAGTCAATTAAAACTTTTTCAAATTTCCATGACTACATATGACAATGAACACCATCATAAAGGTCCCTCTAATTAAAAACACCTGTAAAATGAGTCAGTTATTGATTATGTTGTAATAATTACAGCTACATTTACCATACAGGTAAATATAAACCCTGCAGGTGGGTGGGTGTGAGCTATTTTCTGTGTGTGTACAATGTGTATCTTACAGAAGGGATAAAGATCAAGAAGCAGTTAGTTCAGTCAGAGACTGCAGTACACTTAATGTGTATCGGGTTCAGCAAATATTGTCCACTTGTGAATTGACCTGCACTTGGTGTACTTGTTATTTACTTCATGGGATCTTGATTAATAATATATCTATATAATATATTTCTGCAATACTGCTGTGAACCACATTGGTATTGTAGGATATTATAAATAAACTGACAACCCAGTTCATAAATTAACTATTAATAAAATGCTTTTAGTGTACAGCCGAATACAGCCATGATTCTGGAACTATGTAATCAATAAAGTAATGAGAATATTGTAAAACCACTGTAATCAATAGAACAGCTATGATTGTAATTAACCGAAATGCATACAGGTAATTCTTGATAGCACCAAAACTGACTGAGAGACATTCCAAATCCAAGTTACATTGAACATTGAATTACTCAGTGTAATAGCTCATTGCACCACTCTATCTATGGAAAACTCCCAATACCTCTTTATTACATTTTTTTGGATTATAACTTTTCGATCCGAGTTATCCTTTGTTCGTCCGGAGTTTTTTCATTTTGAACACAACAGTATGTATCAGGTAGAGAGGATCTATTGCAAGTTGCATTATGGGAAATGCAGGGTCCAGGGTGATGATTCTTTTTTTCAATCCCACCTCTCTCTGTATGAACCCAGATTTCTAGCGAGGCCTTTGTCAAACGATTATCACCACCCTCCCAGAGTCGGGCCAAATGATCATTTTAATTCATGTCGTCATCTGTGGTGGTTTATTTGCATAAGCACAATTAAAATGCCGGATCCGATCCACATTCAGATCCTAAGACTACTGCTGCTTCCATGTGTTCATTCACTTTTAAATCGGCCTCTCGTGACATCCCCAACTTTACAGATAGGCAATATTAAATGACATGAAGCCTTTTAGTCTGATTCTCACAACTTGTCTTCACATTGTGATCAACATGTGCTCGGTGGTTGTTCAACCTGCCCCCCCTCCCTGCATGTCTCCATCACCCTGCACCATGCGGCTTGGTGCCGCTGCTCTAAATCCTTCAGTTATGTAACAGAGACACAATTGATGCGAGGGGTTAAAGCAGGCGTGTCAAACCCACGGCCCGGATCCGGCCCTAAAAAGCCCAGTGGGGGCCGCACTCTGTGAGTGAGCGCATGCGTTCGACCAGGGGGGTCGCCGACAGCGTCCCTCCAGGCAAGCAGCGCCCGCTCAAAAATGACTGCGTGGCAACCGGATCACCCGTGTCCACCCCCCCCCTCTACCGGACCACTGGCGATGATTTGACTGGTCCGCCTGCGTAACATCACAGTGGACAGTATGTGGCCCCCTACCTACAATGAGTTTGACACCCCTGGGTTAGAGGCAGCTGTTGTTTTAGCTGCCGGAGGCACACACACCTGCTGTGTGATTATGGGGGGGGGGGTTGGACGTCCATGTGCTGCGGCTATTTCTTCTTCAGCTGAGATCCTCTGGTTTACACAAGGTTCAGTAGAGGTGGATGTTGGTGTCGCAGCATGGTTAATAACCGATACTCAGAGATGGAAAACTCAAATGAAGGGGGTCAAGGAGCGGTTTACCCTCCCGTGCCCGTCTGTGTGTGTGTGTGTGAGCAGATTTATCTCAGGTCAGACAGTCTCTGCTGTGCTCAGGAGTTAAATTTAGCCTGGAAACCTGAAGCTGTGCCTCCTCCGTCAGCTCCTTCTCTGGGGGCCGGGGCAGCGCCCCTGTGGGCACAAAGCAGGCCGGGATCTTTGCCTCAGCATTTAGGAGCCGCGAGCTGCTGAGAAGCCCTCTGGGAGGAAGCGGGGCCGTTGTTAGACTAAGGCCCAATACCAACGTCCCCCTAAACCCTGAGCCCTGGACTCTCAGGCACTAAACGGACATCACCTGGTAAATAGTCTGTCGGGGCTTTAAATGGCGCAGATGGGACAGCACTTCACTGTACTTCACGTAAAAAAATAGGATTTATAATAGAGGGTATTTAAAGCTTTTTAAATAATTTTTTTCAACAAAAAAAAAATAGTAAATCCCGTCTGATTCCATGTGGGTTTTTGCATCTTCTGTTTTAAATGTATACATTTGAATATGACAGACTTTGCTTTTTTAACGCCTCTCTGCTTTCACTGGTCCTCCCGTTTTTAACATCACTTGTAATGACTTGGGCTTTACGGAAGGGTTCATAAAGGGATCCAAATGTCTGTCAGAAAGCCCCAAACACTTATTCTAACATTACATTACAGCCCATTGCTCGCTCAACGGCTACAACAGACAGGGGAGACCAGACGAGTTTAAAAGGAAGCAATTAGCTCATCGATGTGTGAAACATATAAACCAAAGTATATGTATTTGGATCTGTTGGACATGTGTGACATGACTCAGGGCTTTTTTTCTTACACTAGAACCCTGTGGTGAATATGATGACTGTTTTTAGCGTATATTGCATTTATTTGAATAACAGGTAGAGAAACTGTCAGCTGTGATTTTGCAGGCTTCATATTCGAGTGTTTCTGCCACTCAGCGTATTGTTCAAATTTACACTGCTGGAGGATTTATCTCAGAAATGAATCTAACTTGTCAATGGATGAGCCCTTTTTAGAACAAACACAGGTATTAAACACTGTGTCCAGCTACGCTACTTTGGTTTGCTTTTAACCCTCCAATCGACCAACATTTTTCCACTCGCTGCGTGTTCAATAACATGGTGCTTTCACTGCTTCCACTGAGTTTTGCTACAAATGTATTTCAAGGATATCTAGATTTGCATTTTGCGCAGTGCGGACTACGGCTGATACGGCGCATATCTGTGCACACACACACACACACACACACACATTAGTTGTTGTTTATATTTGTAGACAAATTCTGTTTGTAGAAAACTGAATTTGCGCTGTTGCGCATCGACAGGCGCAGAGATCTCGACCCCTTGCTCAACAGTGCCTTGGCACTATTTATTCTTGTTATTTGGGTGTGCAGAAGAGTGCTGGGTCTCTGCTGTGTCCTTACACCTCGAGGGACAAACATCTATTCCCACCTGGATGTCAGCAGCAGCCCTGAGACCCAGAGAGAGAGTAACAGGTCCGGCTCTGTGCTTCTTTCTTTGTACAGTAGGGAGAACAACCTCCATCACCGCCTCCTGGAACGCTTGAAACATGGCTCAGTGAGTCACTGCACACACACACACACACACACACACACACACACACACACACACACACACAGTATCTATAGACATGGAGTGTACTTGTGTAGCTTTTGTTAGACCAGCAGCACATATGTAATAGATCCAGAGAGCAGGTGTCATGGCTTCCTGTGTGCCGCTGTGCAGTGTCCAGAGGGTGCAGAAGAAGACCAGCACCATGTCCCTGACCATCTCCTCCTCCTCCTCCAGCGCGGCGGCCCACAGAAACTCCAGCCTGGTGCAGCCGCTGTGTGTCAGCCCTCAGAGGGTAACTTCAACAGCGCAGCTAATGAGTGGAGTGAAGATGTCGCCTTGAAACAAACGTACTGTTTTCCGTTACAGACCCAGAGTCCCGATCACACCCAACAGCATTCAGGAGGAGTGGCCCCCACTTTTGTCAAGGTAGAACACCATTTAAACTATGGCGCCAGTTCAATTCTATTCTATATTCAATTGAATGAGGCAGACACGGACACTTTTCTGCCGTTTAAGCACTTTTATGTGTTGAGTAGTGCTCGCAGGAACAACGAGTCGGTTTGCTCCGCGCTCTTCATCCTCTCTCCCCCACTGCTTATCAGGGACACAAATCAGTCAACAAGCAGCAGCTGAGGCCATTTACACCTCATTCGGGATCAGCACTGTTCCCTGAGCCGCTCCATCCCCTCTGCAGCGGAGCCAAACACCAGACGCATTTGTCTTTTACACTCTAAATTAGTGTCGAGCAAAGAAAATCTAGACCTTTTTATGCCACATGAAAGATTACTTAATTACTCTCTAACACCGGCCCTTTTCCTCCTCTCCTCTTCCTCTCTCCTCTGTATTTTGTCCTCCCTATTCTTCCTCTGTCCTCTCTCCTGTCTCCTCTTCTTCTCTCCTCTTTTCCCTTCTCCTCTCCTCTCCCCTCGCCATGGCTACCAGTGTCTCCATGATGTGTCTACGCTGAACGGTCAGCTGGTGGTCCTGGAATGCAGGCTGAGGGGAACCCCCCCCCTGCAGGTCATGTGGTACAGAGAGGACGAGCAAGTTCTGGACTCGGACGATTTCAGGATACTGCGCAAGAGTGAGAGCGTGTGTGACGGTGGGCCGAGGGTGGAGGCGACGTGATCCTAGCTCCAATAACCCAAGCAGAAGTATTTTGTAGCTGTGACTTCAGTATTATACGACATCTGACTTCATATCAGACAATGTTATGAGGTGGAAGTTTAGCCCGCTTCACTTTGATAGCTTGGATCTATTTTTATCTGGTGTTCACTTCTAAAATAAATGTCTTTTCTCCTTGCTTGTCTTCCCAGAGGCCTGCTCGGGATCAGTGCCAGGTAGAGTATTGGTCCTGTGATAATGTTTATAAAGGGAGTGTACTTTAAAGGGACTTTACTCTTCATGTTCTCTTTTGTTTTCTCTCGTCTGCTTCATATAAAGGCCCCCTATGCTAAAGAGGACCTACCTCTGGGATAACCCTATTGAACCAGTGTATGAGTTCCTAATGCACATCCCAGGTTGGATCTTTAGAATAGCCGTCAGAGGGGGAGGACTGAATGTGACAACATGATGTCATGTCGAATACACCAAACAAATTCCCAGACAAACTCCTTCTGCCTGTAGCGAGTATTCTGCTGCACACATAACTGCGTTGAGACCGTGGCCACCTGGCACCTCCATGTGGACGCTCGGAGGAACAGCTTGAAAACCAATGGACTCAATTAGCATGCAGTCATATTTGATTAATAACATATTCGAATGGAGAGATCATTCCTAGATCATTTTGGTGTGTGGCTTGTGGCTTCCCACAAACAACATGCGTTGGTTCCTGAGTTTGAGCACTCTGCGTGCAGCGTTCATCCTGGGATGACGTCGTCACAGTAAACCTCATTGATGTTGGTGTGTGGCCCTGCTGCAGAGGAGCTGTGCACGCTGGTGATCACCGAGGCCTTTCCAGAAGACTCCGGCCTGTTTCAGTGCGTGGCTCTCAACCCCTTCGGCAGGGTATCCTGCTCGGCCGTCCTGGAGGTCTACAACGGTTAGACGGCTCATTGGCACGGCCCGTGGCACAGTCAGTCTGCTGAACGGCACGCAGCTGTGGACATGGTCGGCCTTGTGAGTGACCCCACGCTCTTGTCCTGCAGACCTGGAGGAGCAGCTGGAGGCGGAGGCCGCTGGTCAGCAGGAGGAGGTTCCTCCCCTCCGGAGAAAGGAGGCAGCATTCCAACATGAGACTGCCTCCTTCGGTGAGAGCGCCGACGACTTTCCCCCCGAGCTGCCCGACTCCATGACACTGCCCCCCCCTGAGTGGCCTGACAGCCCTGTAGAAGACAACAAGCCTGTTGCAGAGTGAGTGAAATGTACACACATTTTCTATTAGCATTATTCATTGACCCCAGCATGCACAGAGCAGAGTAAAAGAAACTGCGCTCATCCCCCACATGCAGAAATGACCTCTGACCCCGGACCCCGTAGTTACTTGCAGGCATTATTGTCATTACTGAGAAATCAATTATTCATTCACACAGATTTGTTTTGTAAGAGTGTATCGTCCATTTAACTATCCATTTAAAAATAGTTCAGGACCACACGTGCACTTCCTCTTTAAATCCAGAGGAGGGCGCAGTTTCACCATTCCGTGCGGGAAGAAGAAGACCATCTCCAAGTTCACCCGACTTTCATTTTCTTTCTTTCGATCTGCTTTCTTTTTAAGTTTGTCTTTCTTTCACGAGACATACTTTAATGAAGAACGTCATGATAATGATTGGGATATTATATTGATTAGGCTTATTCATGAAGAAATATATACAGAGTTTTAGATGGGCTGCACAAACTCAAATTAATGTAAAAGTACATTGAATAATAGAAGAGTCCTACTTTTAGAAGATGCCGCCAGTCAGAGAGCAGACTGGGTACCGAACCGCTGACGTCACGTAGATGCAATCGTGATGACAATGCTGAGCTTCGAGCCAATCGGCTGGACCCGCGCGACCCCGAGGACCCTCTGCCTCGTGCGTGCGCGGTGTCACCTCGCGCTTCATCCCGGTGGTCTTTCTGCACGCGGGGACAGTCGCGTGCGTGTTGAAAGTGGGGCAGACACGAGGTAAGGAAGCACCGTGTGCTGTACCGTTAACGTCCCCCTTCGGCTCCTCAGTGGAGCCCGTCCGCTCGACACCGACTCCCAGCGCGACTCCTCGGTGTCCGAACAGCTGCCGCCGTGTCTGCAGCACGCGGACCGGACCGCGGTCTATTTCTGGGCTCCGTGGCATCAGATAGTGTTTAGTCAAATGAAGCTAACGGTAATGTTGTCCAACGACGCTGCTCGGTTATTGTCAAACGAGGCAAGTTTTAAGTTTCTTAAAAAAAATAATTAAATATCAAGTGGCACAGCGGCCGCCCGTTGCCAGGAGACTGATAACGTAATGTTAATGAACCGTATTGTTAATGAAGTATTCAGGATCCCTAACACTACTCAACCGATATATTAGTGAACCGTGATGTTAATGAACCAATATGTTAATGAACCAATATATTAGTGAACCGTGATGTTAATAAACCGATATATGTTAATGAACCAATATATTAGTGAACCGTGATGTTAATGAACCAATATGTTAATGAACCAATATATTAATGAACCGTGATGTTAATAAACCTATATATTAATGAACCATGATGTTAATGAACCGATATATGTTAATGAACCAATATATTAATGAACCGTGATGTTAATGAACCGATATGTTAATGAACCGTAATGTTAATGAACCCTAATAATGACACTAGCCTACCCAGCATGCTAGTGTCCTTAGCATGTTAGCATCGATCACTGGCTTGAAATTATAACCACCACCATGTAATGAACTATAACATTTGTGAGCCGTAACATTAGTGAACCCTAACGTTAATGAAGCTTAACATTAATGAACCTTAACGCTGATGAACCGTAATGTTAATGAACCGTAGCGTTAGTGAATCGCAGCCGGTCATTTGCGGCATTTCTGAAATATCAACAATAATGGTCACATCTGAGTGCGCACTGATATGGAACGCTGAGGTCAATGTAAACAGGTGTACAGTACTTTCAACCAGTCAGAATGCTTGTTTGCACCTAACCGTATTAGAATTAAGCATTAAGGTACGAGAGGCTGTAATGTAACAGTTCGGGGTGTAGTTAGGCCCCACCTTAATTGTCCGTTTGCGAAAGCTGGCATTGCCCCAAACCGATCATTGGTGGTGTTTCTGGTATTTTTTCGGCGAGTTACTTGCTGAGTGTGCAGTGATATGGAACCGGTACTGTACATTATCGCTCGTTATAATACGGGTCCATGAAATCCAGCGTTGTGATTGGTTGAGAGCGAGTCATGGGGGGGGGGTGCATTATTGAGCGATAATGTACAGTTGCTGTTCACATTGACCCGAGCGTTCTGTATCACTCCGCACTCAGAGTAACAGGTTTTGCGATCGCCGAAATAAGACCCGGAAATCCCACACATTATCGGTTTCAGGCAATACAAGCTTTTGCAACCGGACAATTAAGGTCGACGTCATCAGCGATGTGAAGGAATGAGATGGTGCGGAACCCAATGCTGTTTACGTGCACGTACGGGGACTATCTTTCTCTAGACTACTGAAATGAGATACACGTTTGGTAGCTACAACCTTTTTGTAATGAAAGGCAGTTATTTACTTACTATTTATAATTTCGCTGGTAACCGTATAATAAGGTTCTTGAGGCAGTACTTTATCTTCAACAGTTTGAGGGTTGCCGGCCCTCCGCTGCGCGTCGGACCTAACAACACCCCCGAACTCTTACATTATTGAAGATAAAGTATTGCCTCAAGTACCTTATTGCTTTAATAATGCACCCCCTTGTGGATTTCATCTACCCGTATTATAATAAAGCGTAACATTAGCTGATCGGAAACAGGACACTCACTCTCTCGCTTTGAGGGGCTCTGGAGCTGCTTCTCTCTACGTGGCTCTTCATTGTGTTGTGCTTTACTGTTTGTCGGACAGCATATAAACCTAATGTCAAGGTGTCCTAATCCAGGCTGCGAAAGCTTCTTCTTTTTGTTAATTACCTTAAAATAGTTAGTAATGTTAATGTCAACGAATCTACGTGTCAAATCTTATGAATATACATAAACATTTACACGATTAACTACTGCAGGTCGGGCAATGCGGGGCAATAAAAGAGCTTTTATTGCTGTATTTGGAGGTGTTGAAGGGGAATCGCGTTCCCGGATATGTTGGCAGCATTGATGGACATTTTGCTGACCCTTTAACCAATGTTTAATCCCCACGAAAAACCATGTTTACAATGATAATGGGCACCTGGCCGGGTCATGGCACTACCAGCGCACGGCTCATTCACCGGTGATGCCGTCCTGTTACCGACATCATCATCAAAACCGTATTTGGCTCCAACAGAAAGGAGCTAACGCTTTACACGGATCAATACATTACATGGTCATTTTTATCAATACTGTTACTGGATAGTTAGCTAAAAATTGTCTTGGTTAGGACAAACTGACTTTAGCTGAGGGATGTTTTTTTATTTTTTGGAAAGGAAATATTAAAAACACTGCGCACAGTTAGTTAGAGCAGTCAGTGATTAACAAGTGTATCAGCGGTTAGTGTGTTCACATGCAGGTGTATGATCGGGCACCAGGTTTTCAATGCACTGCTGTGGTTGTTTTTGCAGTTTTTTATTGCACCACAAATGAATAATCTGCTTTTGTGAAATACTGGATAGAGGTGCATTGATATCACAGCACATGTAAAGTTTGGTGATATTTTATCCAGAGCTATGATCTCATCCGTCATGGAAAGTACAGACATGGTGTCTGTGTCTTTCAGGAAAAATAATGATGTTTACCTAGTAGTATTCAACCTGATTCATCAGTTTATTGGAGAAATGTGGGCTTTAGACTTTAGGATAGAGCAACATGGACCAATCCCTTTTGTGGTATTGGTGACCATTGGTACTTATGGTCCTTATAATATGGTACTTATACACTTCATATAATGAAGTGGGTAAAGACGGCTCGTAGAACACTTTACTGGGATGCAGCTATGGCTGGGCAGTATACTGGTTTCAATTTTCCTTACGGTATGGATTTTCCACACACCTTCATACCGGTGTATAATCGTGACAACCCATGTTGCTCTTCGGCAGGCAGCAGATTGTTGAACTCTTCAAACAGGGGAAAAAACACGACAAAACAGTTTGTCACACAGAAACATGATTGTACATTTATAAATTACCCCACCGAGCTGCATGCTGGGTACAGCTGGGCCTTTTCCAAGAGAGGAGCGGTGTCTGCCGTTTGGAGGGGTTTTGCTTTTGAAATATCCCACGTAAGTTAGATCAGAAACGAGTTATTGCAAAGTTGGTCAATTTGCCGGTATTGCCTCTGGTGGCAACATTAGCAGTCACAGCAGCTAACATGCTAACGGGCTAACTCGCTGGCTAGTTGCGAGCAAGTTGGTCAGCGGCTGGTGAACAGCTGTTCAGCTGGGCGGCGTCCTTTTCGGGGTCAATGAATGAATGTGTTTACTTACAAAAAAAATACTGTAATATACCGTCAGAATCTTAGAAAACACCGTCATATGGATTTTTGGGCCATACCGCCCAGCCCTAAATGCATTATTTAAATAAAGTAATCTTCAATAATATTACGATATCCTAAATGTAAGGCAATATCTAGTCTCATTTCATGATATTCAGGGTTCGTACGGTCATGGAAAACCTGGAAAAGTCATGGAATTTCAAAATGGTCATTTCCAGGCCTGGAAAAGTCATGGAAAGAAATAAAATCCTAAAAGTTTTGGAAAAGTCATGGAAATTTGTTATATTTTTATGGTCATGTGGTTCATTTAAGATTACGTTTGAAATCATTCATATGGTTTTAAAGAGACGCAGGACGCTCGGATACTCGCAGCGCCAATAATTCACACCGCGGCTGTGTAAACGCGCCTTAACTGAAAAGTTCGGTAGCTCAGGAATCATCCACCTTGTCAGGGAAGTGTAGATTTAACCGTGGTTGGCTATATATGGAAAAGTGCATCTCATGAGTTACGACAAACAAAGACCCGGGACGAGCAGAATGTAAGTAATGTGGAGGCGGAACATGATATATTTCAAACATGGGAGAGCGGCATTAACGAGCCGTGTTAAAGGAAGCAGACATCACGGCGCCGCTGCTAGCGAAGCTACTACAGAAACCGCATCAGAGGGCGACTGCTAGCGAAGCCACCATGCCGAGCAGCACGTCTCTCTCTTCGGCCTCCGGCTCTGTACGCGACACCGGCATTTCCCGACGTGCGCTGCCCGTCTGCTAGCAGCAGTTTCAAGTTGTAAACAGAAGGCGTGGCGGCGTTGCTTCTGTGTTCTTTGTCATTGAGCCGTATTAAGCTGCTATTAAGACACGTGACTTAATTTTCCTCCTCGAATGACAGGAGATCATTTGATTCTTTTCGTTTTGTGTTTATTTTATGCTGCAATGCGTCAACATAATATACAATTACTACATTCTGTCACACGGCAGATAAACGATATGCTCTTGTGCCTAACGCAGCTCTTCTGTGTTGCACCTACTGCAATCACGACGTCAATACATGGAGACACACAAGGAGCGTCAATCCAACATAAATGCTTTCAATACCGCATTTATGTTGGATTGTTCCTGCACAATGGCACTGTTTAGGCACCGGTATGTTTTATAAGTATCGTTTTAGCACTGGTATCAGGAAAACCCCAAACGATACTCATCCATAGTGGATAATTGTATAATTATAACATCTTGAGACCGAATTGAATGGTGGGGGAAACACTGTATGCTTTGGTATTCTCATTGTTAGTTTAAATACTACATTTTCTCACTTTTTCATGTATACACTGAGATTTCACACTTATTTGGTCATGTCAATTTTGTTTGAAGTCATGGAAAAGTCATGGAAATCCACTGGTCAAAATGTGTATGAACCCTGGATATTGAGCCGGCCCTGGCTGAGTTGAGGTAACTTACCGCTGGAGTGCTTAGGATAGGTTGGCATTCTCCTACCCACAATGCCATGCAGATCTTGTGTGTGTTTAAAGGATTGGGTCACCAGTCTGTCTGCACCTGCCAGCTGATGTTCAAATTCCAAGACCAATATAGCTCTGCAGAGTTAATCATCCAAACACGAATACACATACAGTAGACTATCACCATACTAAATAACACACACACACAGCCTGCCCCCCCTCCTCTAGCACCAGAGAGCATGTTGCCCTTGTACTCCATACAGAAAATAGAACCGTTCAAAATTCTTTTCTTCACAGAGAAAGCCACCTCATATCCGCCAATGCCCCCCCGCTGTGTCCAGGCACTGTTCCCCGGGAGCAGGGCCCCCTCTGGAACCCTGTCCCCCTGCACCCCACACTTTCTCCGTCCCTCGCCTCTCGTTAATACTGCAGTTAAAAATCATCGATTTAAATCCTTTTTTAACCCGAGATGCTGTTTTTTGTCTTTTTTACAGTTAGAAAATCTAAAATATCTCAAATCTAAAATAGTTCTGCGTATTGTACTAGCTTTTGATGTAAAGGGCCTTCAGTACATTTTAAAGTATTTATAGTTTTTGAAGCTTGTCCCGGTCCAAACGTATCTTCACATTTCATTTCATTTCAGAGTCAAAAGATCCTTCTAGGAGGTTTTATATTTCCATTTGACTTTTAACCATTGGGACCAGACTGTTTTCGAAAAATTAAAAACTCAACACAAACACAATTTGCTCATAGTTTGCGTGGAATTAGGATCCAAGCTGTAATTCTCTGAGTTGCTTGATTGAACACGTATCCATCAATGCCGGCCGTTTACATCCACAGATTTTGTGGCGCATATCGACACCTCGTTCCCCGGACTTAGTGTGTGAGAGGGCTGCGATTATCACAGCGTTCCTGCGTAGCCCACATGGTAGTCATGGGAACAGCATTCCTTCCTGGAGTATAGTGGGGAACCAGCCAGGTTTTGGATTACGTGAAGAGAGTGACCGGAGTGGGAGCAGAACTATTGATATCTGGCGATGGCAGCCGTAGAGCATGTGATCCATAAACCTAAAGTTACTTTTTAAGGTTGCTCATCATTTAACGCATATCTGGATACATGCAGAGGCTTTGTCCGCTGAAATAACAAAATCAGCACTGGATGAGTGGGATGCCAACATGTCTACCCCAGAGAAATAAATGAAATAAACATTTAGCATGTTTGTAAAGTTAGTGTTGACTCTCCTCAGAAAAACAATGCAGGAAGAGCCAGAGTTCTTAAAAGTAGAGTAATTATATTGAATCTGAGTTACTTGAATCTCTCCATCAGAGGCGCCATGCACGGGGTCAGGGTTTCCTGTTCCTCTGTTTTACTTTGTATTTTGTTAATGTGTATTTAAGGGTTGTCAGATCTTGTCTTTAGCCTCAGGAAGTCTGCAGGTGATTTTCATCACAACTTGTTACATAAAGGGCTGTCACGATATCAAAGATTTTTTGCACGATTATTGCATCAACATTTATTGCAATATGCGATATTATTGCAATTTTCAGACCACTTTATGCCACTGACATCATAATGACAATATAATAGCATAGTATTACATGTACGCTCTTTCAAAGAGCAAAGAACGTTTTATTCGTCAGAATAGTTAGACTTTAAAATCGGATCGTGAAAAAATATTAACCTGAATGAATAATAATTTGAGAATAGTAGATATGGACCAATTTGGCTCATAACAGGAACACAAATAAGCAATAGCAGTCATAAATTAACTTTTCTAATATTAAAAACAATGATATTACAGTTGAATTTGAATGAAATTAGTTGATTCATTTAGCGTTGTACTAAGCTGTCACTTCAAAACACCACCTGTGACCACCCCCATCCGGAAAAAAACAGCCTCTTTCCATGTACAGGGGTTCAGCTCCGTAGTAGGCCGGGTGGAGAGCCACAGCAGCAATGGCTTCACAGGTCTTTGAGTGACCGAGCCTGATCCCACAGATCCGATTCCCTGAGTCTCTGCTCGCTCCTCGTTGCACGTCCCCCGTCTTTACTGTCCCGTCTGTTTGTGTCAGTTTCCCACAGCCGGCCAACCACTCCTTCGAAGAACCCTTTGGTCGCAGCGAGGAGGTGCGCGCGCTGAGCTCAGGGGGGCAAAGGTCACCGGGAATCACTGTCGGAGCCTACACGCCCAGCCCTCCACCCCCGACTCAAGTCAAGGAGCAGAGCCACACGCCCATGTTCAGCCCCACCAAGCTCAGTTTCCCTGTAAGAACAAAGTTGTAGCTGCTGCTACAACTTAGATGGACCAATGTGTGGCAACCAACATCTGGCTTAAATGTGATGAATCCGAAATATAGAAGATCTGTCTCCTCTGCCCGGTCTTGCCCAGACTTAAATGTCTAGTATTGAACAAGAGGAAATCTAACAAACGAAGCCCCCTTATGTGTTGACTGAGATTGTTAAATGGTTTAAAAAGTTGTCCTCCTTGTCCTTTCCCCATCAGAAATGCTACAATTAAACCTTTAATCCTTTTTTGTTAATGTGTTTGTGTTCTCCCTTCCAGTCAGGAGGTCCCACCATGAACCTGTCCGACCTGCCCTCCTTCACTCCCAGCGTCTTCCCCCCGAGCGCCTTCAACTACGAGCGACCACGCCATTTCATCCAATCGCAGGCCGCCTTCCAGGCACCCAGCTATGACAGCGTTCTGAAAGAGGCCCAGGAGAACCAGAACAGCTCCCAGCAGAACCTCGGCAGCTTCCAAAATAGTCCAAACGCCACAGAGACCCAGAGTGGAGTTAACATGACGTCCGCACAACGCCAGTCTTTTTCCCAGACTCAGTCAGTGTCCGAGTCCTTGTCACAGAGCCAGGCGCAGTTGCAGTCCCTAAGCCTGAGCCAGAGCCAGGCCCAGTCCCAGGCCCAGTCCAAGACCCAGGTTCAGTCCCAGTCCCATACCCAGGCCCAGTCCCAGGCCCAGTCCAAGACCCAGGTTCAGTCCCAGTCCCATACCCAGGTTCAGTCCCAGTCCCATAGCCAGGCCCAGTCCCAGGCCCAGTCAAAGACCCAGGTTCAGTCCCAGTCCCATACCCAGGTTCAGTCCCAGTCCCATAGCCAGGCCCAGTCCAAGACCCAGGTCCAGTCCCAGTCCCATACCCAGTCCCATACCCAGGCCCAGTCCCTTACCCAGGCCCAGTCCAAGACCCAGGTTCAGATTCAGACACGAGCTAACGGCATGGGAAAGTCCTCCTCCAGTATCAGCTCTCCCATTTCCCCCCTGGCGTCCTCTGGTGCGCCTCCTCAGTCCTCCCCCGCCCCCATACTTAGTCCTCCTGCCTCCACCATCCCATCCTCCTTATCCCTTCTCCCCCGCACCACCATGCGTTCCACCATCACTCTCACCCCCAGCATTCCCAGCGCCACCGGGATGGGGAGCGCCACCCTGCCGGCCAATCAGGACGCCATGTCGGCACCCGCCGCCTACCTCTGCTCCGTGCTGCCCTCCCAGTCTGCCTTCTCCCCCTTTTCCTCATCCAAGCTGTCTCCCAACTCCAACCTGCCTCACTTCTCCACCTCTCCCTCCCGCTCCCCCATCCGCCCCCCGCAGCCCTCTCCTCCCCACAAGGGGCCCCTCCTCTGGTATCTCCCTCCCGGAGCAGCCTCTTCCAGTGTCACCATCCCTCCCTGGCTCCCCTCTCTCTCCTCCCTCCTCCTCCTCCTCTCTGCAGCAGCCCAACACTCCCAACGGTCCGAGCGGAGTACCTCCTGCTGTGGTCTCCTTGCCGGCCAGCTACAAGGCAGCGCCAAGCATGTGAGTCCACTGGGGGCATTTCCCAATGATTAAGCATTGCATTTTATTTTAGTCTATAAAAATACGTTTTGATATTTTCCAGCAGATTGAGCTAGTTGCTTATGTTTGCCCTAAAAGCCAAATCGTGTTGTTTATGTAGTTTGCTGCCGAGCTGTGCGGTGTTGAAAGTCGCCATCGTTGCTAACCATTAGCATTGTCTCTGGCTCTCTGTCAGCGTGCGTGCATGGGTCACAAATGACATTAGGTAAATAAATAGATCTGAATCTTTGGCGTCCGTTCCTTCCTCCTTTTCTTCTCGCTGTCCTCCCTCAGCCTTCCCAAGCCCATCCTGAAGAAGGCCGTGGCTCCTCGGCCTTCCTCCTCTCGCTCCACAGACGAAGACATCCAGGGCTCCAAAGACGCCCTCATCCAGGATCTGGAAAAGAAGCTGCGCTCAAAGGAGGCCAGGAGGAGAACCAGCCAGGTGTGTGTGTGTGTGTGCAAAAGCAACTACGAAACAATCCTCCCACCAAAGCACGCGCACACACACACACGTGCCAGTGCCTGTTTGAACATAAAAGAATACATCATTCAAATAGTTTACCGAAACAAACTGAATCACAAATCACAAAACTGAGAGAAGTTACAATTTAACAGTATACAGCTTCATTTTCAAACAGAAACTGTCCTATGAGGAGCGCATGGCTCGTAGGCTGCTGGGTCCAGACAACGCCAACTACACGTTGACCAAGACAGTCTCTCAGACTCCCAGCCGCCCAGGTAGAACAACGACCTCTGCATTCAGTCAGCAGGACCAAAATCCTCCCGCCCAGGGGCGATCCGATGTATTTAGCTATCGAGTGAAGCGCACGCGTTATTAGTCATTTGGGGTTGAATGGCTGCACAGGGAGCCTTCTTCCCTCTCAGGGCCTCCTGATGGAGTCCCCAAGACAACGTGCAATAAGCAGCTGGTCATTAGTGTGTGTGTGTGTGTGTGTGTGTGTGTGTGTGTGTGTGTGTGTGTGTGTGTGTGTGTGTGTGTGTGTGTGTAGGATAATTATGTCAGAAAAGGTTCTGTCGCTCAGAGGGCTTTTCGGCGTCTATCCTCTCTCTCTCACACACACAACACGTGTATGCACACACACATTTGTCAGCAGCTATTTCTGGCCTGCTTTCTGGGAAGGAGCCCCTTTCACAACAGGATCATTGTGTCAGAAGACACACACAAACACACACACACAGACAGAGTGGCCCTCCTGGCATTTAGTCAAGCTCAAACGGTTGGTTTTCAAAGTTCAAACGTCTGTTGACCTCTGCTTATATGAGTGTTTTCTGTTCCAGCCAGATTCCCCAGAAGGAAGACATACAGGGGGACTCTGGTAAATACACATCACTCATTTATTCTAGTTGGCTGCCACTCACTCTGTCCAGATTAAAACCAACTCAATCTTAAACAGGTCATTTTCTTTACAGATTTGTCCAGTAAGTTGCCAATATAATGACACTGCAAAACACAAAGTACATTTGAGAAAACTCTACAGCAATTGTTCCCCCCAGAACTCGTAATCCAGTAATTGAAGATAATCCACACCGCTCGGTGTGAGCAGTTTCATGTGGGGCCTAGTTTCTTCACCACGCATCTACCCGTGGACCAGAGGCTACTGCTAGCTCACTTAGACCACTTGGCTAGCTAGCATTACAGCTAATGTTGCGTCGTGCTGCCATGGACGTGAGCCAAGACCCCTAACCCTCAATAGCTTGTTTTTACGGCCTGGAGGAGGAACCGCCGGTTGAAATAAAACCAAAGCGTGGAGATAATCATTTAGCAACATTTCTACCTTTTTTTTGGCCTTCAAGGTATAAATACCCTTTTGCTTAATTGTCATAATCACTGTGTTGAGCTGTCGATATCCCTCCTGTCCCCTTATTCAGTCCCCACGCTGTCAGAGGACAAAGACGGCTCACACACACACACACACACACACACACACACACACACACACACACACAGGCAGCCATCTTGATGGTGATCCCTGTTCCATCACAGTAAGTAAGTCAGGCCACCGAAGGCGAGGTGAAGCTCAGTCAGCACTGTCCCCCTCCCCGCAGGGGGAGGCGCCACACGGGCACCGACGAGCGGGGAAACGAGGGCTCGGCCATCCAGGAGAAATGTTACGCTCCTCGCTTCCTGCAGGTACCTCCAGACCTAACTGTGGAGGAGGGACGCTTCTGTAGGATTGACTTCAAGGTGAAGCCCTCACGCATCTTCAGGGTGCATGAATACACTCGCTGTATCGCTGGAGTCGCCAAGGCGATAACGCTGCGGTCATGTGCCCTCTCCAGGTGGGAGGCCTCCCCACGCCTGACGTGTGCTGGTACCTGGACGGAAAGGCCATTCGTCCAGACGACTTCCATAAGATGTTGGTGTGTGAAAAGGGGATGCACTCATTCCTCATAGAGATCGTCACAGTGCACCACGCCGGCGTGTATGAGTGTGTGGCCCGGAACCGAGCCGGGGAGGGCAGATTCTCCATGAGGCTCAACGTGTTAGGTAAAGAATGCCACCACAGCACACCTTCCTGCAACTTCTCAATGATCTGCACGCATTTATTCACCCACGCCCGTCCTGCTTGTGATGCCTTTTCCGAAGTGAACTGAACACCTACTGTGCCACGTCCTCTCTGCAGCCCAGGAGGCTCTCCGTCCTCCCACCTTTGTCCAGAAGATGTCCAACTCCAGAGCTCTGGAGGGGGATACTGTTCGGCTGGAGTGCAAAGTGGACGCCTCCCCGCCTCCACAGCTCTTCTGGAAGAAAGACAAGGACATGCTGCGCATCGACCCCAACAGAATGAGGTACGTCGTCCCTCCCACACTGCTGCTGAGCTGTACTCACATGGTGGAGACTCGTTAGAGACCAAAATCAGAGCCATCAGACGGAGATGACTTCAGATCAGGGCTCCACATGAGCGTCGCTCCATTTATTTCTCAATGTCTACTCCAGAAGATATCATTACTAGTTTCTGCTGCTTCTGAGAGGCCAAAAAACATTCAACAGGTGAATGAAGAATAGTGAAAGTGCGTTGTAATAAAGACCAATGTGCACAGTAATGTTATTGAAGCAGGTTTGAGAATGATGTTTTAATAGAGAACTGCGTCTATGCACAGTCTCTCCAGTCTAACGTTCCAGCAGTACAATATGCAAAATCATCGCTTGCCGCTTTTTCCGTCTTTGGCCACCATGTGCAGTAAGTTGCGAGGACGTCAGCTTTCTGACCCTGTGTTTGTCCACAGTCTGTATCAGGACGGCTCAGGGCGCCAGTGCTTGCTGCTGGAGAGGCTGTTGAAGTCGGATGCCGGTTGGTACACGCTGTCCGCCATCAACGAAGCCGGCATGTCCACGTGCAACGCCAGGCTGGATGTGGGCAGTAAGTGAACCTCGCGTGTGCTCAAATATCCATGCAAATGTGCTTTAAAGGGCCCACCTCGGCCGTCTGGTTGCCGTGGTAGCGTGGACTGTAAAGTCAAACAGCATATGGAGAACGCTGTGCGCCTCACGCTCCAGTGTCTCCAGCTCTCCGTCAAACAAGCGCTGCGTCAAGTGATCAAGCGGGAGAGTGGGGAACGCTCGGGGGGGCCCCCCTGAAGACCACTCGGCGGGTCAGAGCGACGAGTATCAGGTTTCTGCTGCATCACATGACTTGCCACCTGCTGGGTGAGAGGACCCACGCAGGCCGTGCAGGGAACCACCTGAGCCGCGTCACTGTGGGAGGTCACCACTAAGGACGTTTAGTAAGTGGGGACGGGAGAAGGTCCCTCCAGTGTGTACGTACAGGTGGACGTACATGTGAAATGTTTCTGCAGGTATCACATCAAAGAGCTGGGTACACGTCTTTTTACAACCACAACCGGTTTGTGCACAGGCACACACCAGAAATTAGCATGAGGAATACTTATAATGTATAATATCTTATACAGAATATATTATTGTTCGTTGTCCCATTTACAGGTTTCAACGACTATGAAGTAATGGATCACACTCACAGGCATTGTTTTGTTTTTCCTGGTTGTCGAGCACAGTAACGTGTGTCTGTGTGTCACAAAGGAAGGTACATATTAACTCTTCCCCCCCCCTGCTGTCCCCCTAGCTCGCACAGCCCCGCCCATGAAAACGGCGCCCCCTGGCTCCAAGACGTTGAAGATGTTGTCCTCTCTGAGCCACGTGCCCACCCGGACCGTGGAGAGCCCCGCCCAGCACACCGCCCCTCTGTACGAGAGCGAGGAGCTGTAGACCCGCCAAACCCCCCAAACCCTCCATTCACATCCTCAGAACCATCACACATCTTCAACATTTTGTTCTAGTGGACTTTGGTTCTGAGTGCAGCAGAACCAGGACATAGAACACTTTTGAGTTCAATTGCATGTCGGGTTACCAACATTGTGGTTCTAATATTGTACTAAAATATCAACTCTACAGTTTGGTTTGACGTTTTTTGAACATATGACGTTTTTAAGAGTACGGGACATTAACGGGAAATCTTCCACATAAACTAAGATATTTATTACATGGTTTTCCTGTTATCAAAAGTTTGTGTCTTTGTTTCCGTGGTGATAAGGAGCAGTTGGTAGTCACTCGGACAAATGTTTCACCAGTCAGGAGCGTGGTGAGTTAAAATAACCTCATGTGGACCATCTGCTGCGGTTTGTCAGCCCTGTGTGCGTTAGAGGCTGCAGAGCGGATGTTTGCCACACGCTATGAGCCTGTCTGTAGGCCATGTGTGTATAAATAGACCTGCATACTTGTGCCAGCCAGTCCTCTGAGGTCCACAAGGCCCCAAACAGCAACGCGGTGCCCCTTGGGAAGGATTGTCACATGAGAGCACGGACTAGTGGTGAGCGGGTCGGCCCACAACCCCGCGGGCCGGGCGGGTTTGGGGCTGTGCTAACATAGAACAGTTCTCAGTGATGGGTGTTTATAGCACAGGATGGACAAAGAGCAGCAGCCCGCCCCTCTGACGACTGAACCCCGACTTGATTTAGGAAGAGAAACCACTTCAGTTGGAGAACATCTGCAGTGCAGATACGTTGTGTTTACGCTGTACACAAGAGGAACCAAACCATTTCTCACCAGAGCCTTACAATGCAAAAAGCTGCATGTGTTGGTACCTTCACAGAAACCCGGTGGTGCTGGTGAACTGGTACTTCCCCGGGAGCAGTGCAGTCACTGCTCAGTGACAGGATATCCAAACAACCTGAGGTCAAACTATTTATTTGTGGTGTTCGAATCAAACGTGGTTAAACCTTTTGGTGAGCTAGTAGTAGTGTGTGTATTGTTTGTTGTGCAAGTTCTACATCTCACTGTATGAATGAGGAATAAAGTTCTGTGACCCTGGCTCGGCATCTGGTCCTGTTTTGGTCTCCGACCTGCACTCGCAGGCTCCATGTGCGACTGCAGCGGGACGCTGGTCTCTGCCACCGGAGGGGGCTGTTCCTCCACGCTGCCGCGTCGGGTTACACCAGCACGTGTACCCCCGCATCACTAAATATTATGGGAGATTATTGTTCAGAATTTTTATAGCATTTGGGATATTATGTTCTCGTGACATTAATCACATCGTGGGGTATTTTAATGACATTCTCAAACTATACTACTAAAATGATTTTTTTTAAATACCATTTTTCACATATTACACTACAACTTTGACATACGACATTTAGTATTTCTTTGCAGTATAGTATACTAGGACTTTATGAATCACAATACTATTAGGACTTTATGAAACTGGGATATTCTTTGTAAGTAATGGCAATTTGTTTCATGAAATACCATACAATGCCCTCTAACAGCACTGTATCCTGTGACTGTGGGCACACTGATTTTGAATACAAAATGAAATTCTATTTCATGACCAATTATTTTTACATACCATTTTATCTCCTACACTGACTTTTGGGGCTATCACTATCTATGGTGTTCAGGATTGTTTCTTTACATACATTAGGACATTTTAGATCTACTGGTGTGTTGGCATTGTAAACTAATTTGTGATATTACACCATACTCAGACTGTAAACAATAGCAACTCTACTTATTCACCTTTCAACACACCGCATGTAAATTGTAAGGTTTTGGGAGTGACTAAAAGCTGGACCAATCATTCCAAAAAAATACAAAGCACACAAATCACTATTAAAGAAAAATATCTATTTTACAGAACGGTAGGGAAACATCAAGGCAACCACAAAATTAAACATTCATAAAGTAACACCACTTTCATTTTTCTTCAAATCTCATTTAATTAAAAATGAGGAACGAAACAGTAACACATTCAAAAACATGCAGAAAACGAACAACAAAGATAGAAAAACAAGATACTAATATTACACATAAAAGCATGCAGAAATCAACCAACTACATAATATTAAACTTCTTTCTTTAGATGGAACATCATTGACTGAACAAAGGCAGGCGTTTCCTCTCTGATTGGACCCTCAGGGGGCCAGCTGATTATTGGAGAGCCTCTGGAGGACCTGCTGGGCTGCAGCCCGCTGAGCTTCTTCCAGTGTGCTGGTCGCCGAGGGTCCCGGCAAGATCATGACCAGCCCCTCGAAGGTGGCGGGCGCCCCGGTGAAGTGTACCTTGTAGTTGAAGAAGAGGAATCCATCGGGCCCGGCGTGGCTGAAGTACGTCTTATAAAGCGGCTGGCCCACGGCGGTTGCCTTGCACAGCTCATGCAGGAAGGTCACAGGGGATGGCGGGGGCGACACCGGGCGCCCCTGGGACGGAGAGGGGGAGGAGCTGGGACGGGCAGAGTGCTGGGGTACCGCGGGGCCTCCCACAGCCCTGCAGAAGCCCTGAGGGAAGGACGGAGGGCGGGCCATGCGAGGAGGCAGGGCGCTCGGGGTGAGGCGCGGTGGCTTCTGGGGGGGCGGCAGCAGGCTGGGGGGGCGTTTGTGCTAAGATGGCTGCTCAACTGAGGTCGGCCTTACGGTGGACTGCCACGTGATGGAGACTTTCAGGGAAAACTGCTTCTTGAATGCTGTGCACAGAAGATGAGGACAGGCTGAGAAGAGTCAAATAGAATACACACACACACATAACAGATTTATATATATATATGTATATATATATATATATATACATACATATATATATACATACATATATATATACATACATATATATATATATATATATATATACATACATATATATATATATATATACATATATATATATATATATACATATATATATACATACATATATATATATATATATATATATACATACATATATATATATACATATATATACATATATATATATATATATATATATACATATATATATTTATATATATATATATATATATATATATATATATATATATAATCTCGAGTTGGCCATCTCAAGCCATCAACAAGACGATCTCTGCTGCTTGGTGTAAGGAGGACCAGGTTGAGCCCTGCAGAGTCACTGGTAACAGACTTCATGAGTGAGGCCTCAGGGTGCGATGTCCTGTAGTGTTCCCTGTGCTCACTGTCCAGCACCGTGGAGCTCCTTAGGCATTTGCTATAGAACACCATGATATTGGTGCCCTGTGCCCTGTGCCCTGTGCACACAAGATAATGAGAAGCATTTCGAGTTGCACAAATTGAATTTTGGCTAAATTGACTAGCCTGCAACATCTGGAAATATACACACATTCCCCTTCACCCCCGTTGAGCCAGAACTAGAATAACTGCAGGGTAATGATCCCGCCAAAAAGTCCTAAAAAGGTAAAACTAAGTTCCACCTGCAGATTAAGGTCAGGGAGGTTAGCAGTGATGTTAGCAACAACGCAGCAACAGACAGCTTTGCCCCCGTTCACTTTGGGACATACAGCATTCATACCCCGCTGAGGGGTCCCCACATCCAGATGAGTGTTTAGGAGGGCAGTTACCCACTGGGGTCAGGTGCGCTAGTGACATTTCAAATTGTCCTTTTAGGAGTGAAGATTATTTCACATGGAGCTGTAGCATTTATACAGAAATCTGACCCCTCGTGTATCAGGCTGGTCCCCGAGGACTTCTTTAAAATCAGGATATATTTAATAGAACAGATGAAAACATGTTCATCCCATATATTTTGAAAACATGAAAATGACCTTTTTTGATAGCACCCAATAGCAGAAACTAATTTTAGTGTCAGAATACTTTCCACAGCTGCAAGGAGGTAAAAAGGTGATACACTGATGAGGAAGGAAACATCTTTTATGTGCATGCCTCATTTTATAATGAACCATCAGTTTCTCTTATCATTAAATGGAGTTTTCTTCATCTAGTTCTGGCGCCAGCAGATGCAACCAGAAGTGTGTCACTGTGTATGCATCCTGGTTGTTATTTAGAACACTTTGACAAAACTACGTAAAGTGGTGCATTTTTCCATATTTATGTGTTACTAAGTCAAGTCTCACATTGCCAGAGCTAGAAAGATACACATTAAAAACTTGACTTCTTGCATCACTGTCAACACCTGGGACCACTCAGATACACACTGCTCCCATGCATCAGTCTCCATCAACGTACCTTCCACGAGCATCTTCTTGGCCATAGAGGCAGCGTGGTGGGATGAGAAGGCCACCATCGCAGACACCCCATCTATACCCGGCCCGGCCTTCAGGGACACCCTCTCCACCCCATCGGCCAGTACGTGCAGCACCTGGGAGCCAACGGCAGAGACAACGACACAAGCTCAACATTTATTCACACAGCAGCACAACGTCTCCACAATTCCAAGCCGCCAGCATTTTGGGGTTCAAGGTTAGAAGTGGAGTTGTCATAACTGGTATTGATATATGCACATGTGTGTAAACAATGCAGGAGGGGGAGGGAACTGAACCAAATGTCTTTTTACACACTGCTAAAAAAAAAACTTAATGGCAGTGGTTGTTTTTATTATACTAATAAAGAAGTTGTCATTGTATTGTACATAAGTGGTGTCTGGATTGGGGGGTACTTACATATAGTGGCGGTATCACCTATGTAATGTTTACAATGCAGTGCTGTGGACCCCCCCCCCCCAGCGGTCTGTAGCTCCGGTCTGTTCCTCTTAACTGACTATTGATCGGTACCTCATGCAATGAACCCAGACTATTCATGTGTGCTGCTACATCCACAATATTTTCAGCGCTTTCCTTTGCTGTCATGTAGTACTTTCGGATGGGGAACTGCAACTTCAGCATTTTGTGAAGAAACATTGCTTTTTTTCCCCTGTCAAAGTCAAGTGGCCTGAACTGAGTGTAGACCAACCGAACGGCTTCAGTGCCCCTTCGGATACTGACGACAGCAAGATCTCTCTTGGGCTCTGCTCCCATCTACAGTAGGTCACACATCGATGAGGAATAGGGAACTCTTTAATACCTGACATGAAAGAGTTCTCATATCTACAACTAGAACATGTCCTTTTAATATAGATTTAAGATTTTAGGGAAGAAAGTAAGTAAATATTTATGAGAAGGGGTTTGGTAAATTATCTTTGTTGTCATTCATTAATGAAATTGAATTAAAGTGGTTTTCTTCCACTACAGCAAAAGAAAAGAAAAGACACCTCAGACTCAGATCTGTCGTACCTTCAGTAGGGCCTCCTGCTTGGTGGTGGCTGGCAGGTCTCCGATACAGAGGTGTCTCTTCTCCGTACTGCGACGGACGTTGAGGCGGAAGGTGGGCTCTATCGTGTAACCGTGCAGCAGGCGGATGGCTTCGTTAGCGACATCCGGAGAGCCATATTTGCAGTAGGCAAAGCCTCGATTCTGCCCGCTAAAGTTCATCATGAGCCGGAACTCCCAGAGGGGCCCCACAGAGCTGAACAGGGGGATCAGCAGATCCTCATAGGTGTCCCGAGGGATCTGGCTGATAAAGACCTCACAGTGGGCTCCTGGGGCGGGACCATCCCACACTGACGGCACAACAGAGAGCAGTGATTACTTTACTAAACCAGGTCTCAGGTCTTTACAAACACACAATATGTTTTGATTAATAATGGCTGAAATTGACTTAAGCTGCTTGAGTATAAAGATCCTGGTATTGTGCACACTGACTCACTGACACGGTTCCCTGCGTAGAAATAGAATGACAGTAGAACCAGACAGACGCTTCTGGTCTTGGGAAGTGAACCCAATGAGGACCCTGCATTAGATGTACTGACCGCCAGGGTGAATTATGACCTCCATAAACACTGTATACATCAGATGATGATCTTAATCTCTAGTTTAAAGTCGAGAGACCGCAAACGAGTCTCCAACACTTTTTAATACACTATAAAGGTGGAATATTCCCACACCAGTGAGTGTGGATCTCCACTGAGGTATATTATAGTCAGATCGGTCCCAGTTTGACCTTCCATTCAAATAACTGGTGCACAGTGAAGGGGGCGTGTCAGTTACACGTAATGTAATGTCAGACTGCTTCTCCGAGGAACAAACAGTCATAGCGGCCGTGTTGCGCACCCTGGGGTGGTCCTCCGTACTTCCTCTGGCCGTTGACTTGAGTCAGCTTTGCATTGGTCGTTCTCAGCCAGGTTTCCAGCGCCTGCACCCGCTCGTGGTTCAGCACCTTTTGTGGGGGAGGGGGTTTGGTGGGAAGGAACAAGTTTCAACCAGGCTTTCCAACAGGAAAGATCGATTGTCTTCGAGAGGATCTTTAGGCAGTTATCACTGACGCCTGAAGAAATCTGCATGTGTTATTGACCCGGATGGACCGCATCCCTATTCGGAGCACAAGACGCTACTAAAGCTGGCCAACATCACTTTGAAATAATGGACCAGAATCAACTTTTGCTGGTCATCATCTGATTGCAGATCTCTAACGGAATAGTCCATCTAATACGGAGATGGGAACAGAGGCCCAGTGTTACATTAACTTGGGCTGCATCAATGACAGTTATTTGTACTGATAGACCTGTGCCACCAGCAGAGTAGAGGCCCTGGCAGGGACGATGAAGTACTCCTGGTGTAGTGAAGATAATTATGGCAACTATGCTCCTGACAAACTATAGTGAGCTAAAAAGTCAATACTAACGTCATTACACACGTTCAGCGAGAGTCAACATGCTACAGAAGAAAAGGGATAGTCAATGTGCTGTCGGCAGTCTCACTAACACTACAGATTGTCCACATTTTATTTGGATTTAGCATAGTTTTTTCTGAATATTGTGAAAAACTGGAGCTGAAACCAGAGCTGAAAACTTGGGCTGTTAAAGTGAATGTGTTATCGGAGATTATTGTGGCCGTGACTAAGACAATGAAATACTTTAAGGCAACCACGTGTTAAACAGAAAGGGGGGTGAGTGGCTAAGGGACCACTTAAAGCACCGCTATGCTAAGCTAGCTGCTAGGCTACGTTCATCCCAAGCTCTAACGTTACCCTGCGGCACACCGTGTGCAGAGGACCGCCCCGGTGTCCCTATAAGGCCGTGGTTAGTAAACGTCCTGCTAAATGTGGGGAGAATGTTGGCGCGTCAAACACAGCATTTGAAAATGTTGACTAACATGTTTTATTGCAGACCCCATGTTTGAACAAAACATCATCCTGATCGTCTGTTGGGGAAGCGCTCAAAAAAAACAGATGACATAATGGAATTTCACCACCAGTTTGATGACATTTTTATCACTAAATATTTTATCAAATGCGTTGATTTGAATAAATTTCCTGAAAAGTGGATTAAGCCCAGTAAAATGTATTATTTCATTTTAGCCACCAATGCTGTATTGGAGTCAAAGGCTTTGTGTCAATCCATAAACTAAGAAAGTCTTTAGTTATGAAAATGTAGAAATTAGCCTCTGAATGATGTTTGAACAAAGCCGTCGGTGGAACCCCTTCAGAACATTGGATAGAGAACGCCAAGAAGTTTGATGTAAATTCTATGGAAGGAAAACTCATTCAGAAAACTTATGGAAAAATGGATACATTCAGTAGACAAAACAACCCAGATATCCCCATTCTTTAGCTCATTCGCTACACTGAAACAAGCGCAAACACGTGCAAATGAGGCATTATCTGCAGACTTTTGTTAAATTTGGGATAAAAACCGACAGACAAAAGTCAAACAAACACCCAACTTAAATATGTGTTAAGGAAGTTTCCGCTTCACGATCATGTGAAAATATCGTCTATGAGAGCGATGGATTTATCTGAAGGAACACAAGTCATCTTCTACTTTGGCTTCAATGTGATTCGCTAATCAATCACAGCTGCCTTCGTGTCTGATTTCATGACAAAGTTGTGTTTGTGAGAAAATGATATCCGACATTTAACGTTAGCCGGAAGCAACAAGACGGTTCAGATGCACACGTGCAAACGTTAACGAGCAATGAGCTGGCGGCCCATTAGAAACATAAAACAACGGGTTACTTTGGAAACATCCAGAAACTTGTGTCCTTTCAACAAACGTTTCTTCAGCTACGATCGGTAACAAAAACAACGCGCATCGATGGCGCTCTATCAATGTAACGAGACTACGGAAAAACAACCGTTTCCACGAGAAAAACACGACGCACACGAAGCCGGTAAAGCCTCCCCGTGTGGCCCGCGACGCGCGTGCTCGTAAACGCGAAAACAAACGAACGAGTCACGACGCCAAAGCGGCATCGCCTCGTGCCGACGAACGTCCCAACTTCCAGTTTTTCCTTAAAAACGTGGTTTTCGCTTCACTTCATTGGCAGCCACATTACAGAAGAGGTGGAAAACGAATGAAGTGAAATGGAACAAGTTACCTGGCTCTGCGTGGCGTCCATCGTCTCCGCCGGTGTCGTGTTGGCTCGGCCGGTGACGAGACTGCACCTGGAGCCCGGGGTCGGCCTGTAGATTGCACTTGACGCCGCGCCGCCCTCACGGCCGCATCGCGCCCCGCCGCCTCCGCACTCGATACTTTAGTTCAAATGTTCGCAACAAAAAACAACTCACGGCAAATGGGTGAAACAAAAAGGAGCCTCAGTGAGGCCAACAGTGGAGCTTTGAAGATGTATGGAGAGCTAGTTTAATACAAATTCCTTGTATGTTTGGCATATTTTGGCAAATAAATGTTTCCTGATTCCTGAGTAGGTAGTGTAAAATAGAAATGTGTTATAAATATGCCTTAATGGAAAAAAGGTTAAAAGCTATTGAGATTTTTTTTGATTGCTGTATTTTTGGTTCATTGGATTTACAGCTAGTTTTTTTAATGTTGAAAAAATAGCAAGACCATCAAAAAATGATCCAACATAAGATCCGGCCTAGTGCTTCCTACTGTTAGTACTCACAGACAAAACCCTAAAGTCACAGTAGTCTGGTAGCCAACGACAATATCTGTTTTATCTGAGAGACTCCTGTTGCTGGTGTTTGCCCTGACTGAATACTGAATTTGAGCTACCAGCTAGTCCCCTGGTGGCAACAAACTACCAAAACCTACACAAAGTCTCTACACATTGTAACGCCTCGGGGCAGCTCCACTTCTTTGTTCTCTCTTGTCAGACTGGACTGAGTCACTCGCCCTCCAGGTAGCAGTAGTATTACAAGACAGGAAGAGCAGGGAATAGCTGGTTAGGATGCTCATTTCAGTAGATATTGCTGCAACACAATATGGATGTTTGAAATAACATCAACACATTGTGTTGATGTTAATTGTTATTTTGAATGTTTTTGACAAATAGTACTTTCCTTTTTGATAATTCATGAAGTAATTGCTTGCATAGCTTTATAGTTAGGGCTGGCTCAGGTTTATAGTTAGGGCTGGCTCAGGTTTATAGTTAGGGCTGGCCCAGGTTTATAGTTAGGGCTGGCCCAGGTTTATAGTTAGGGCTGGCTCAGGTTTATAGTTAGGGCTGGCCCAGGTTTATAGTTAGGGCTGGCTCAGGTTTATAGTTAGGGCTGGCCCAGGTTTATAGTTAGGGCTGGCTCAGGTTTATAGTTAGGGCTGGCCCAGGTTTATAGTTAGGGCTCTGCTTATATTCAGACCGCCGGGGCACTTCCTAGGATACAATGAGCTTCTCGCTCCTCTCTCTCCTTCTGTATGAAGAAATGATGTATTAATGCATGTCAATAACTTTGTTTCTCCCCTCGCCAAGGTTTCTTTAATTCCCATTAAAGTTTTTTTTTTGTAGTACCTCTACAGATTTTAAATCCCCTTGATGCAAACTTGTGCATTTGGGCCGTACAAACAATTACAATTGAAGTAGTACTGAATGATATAAACAGAGGTTTTGATACAGAGAAACTGCTTTTCACTCAAGAGTTATTTGGAAAAACAATGAGTTACAGAATTTAACCAGAATAAGCTCCCCATATGTCACATTTATTTTCTTTCTTCTGCAATTTGGTTTGCAATTCATTTGAAAAACATATCGATATGTAGTCCTTTTTGGGAAAAACATTTTTAAATTGCAGCAAATAGTAACGTTTCTGAACAAAAGGCAATTTAGTTAGTTATTAAGTATATTTAATAACTGTTTTACGACCAAAGGCAACATGGTAAATGCGTCCAAAACAAGAGAAATCGGTTGGCAAAAACATTACTACAAAAACAAGAAAGTTATCCTTAAATGTAATTATTTCTTGTTTGTCCATGTCTACAGTATCAATTTTTGGAATTCAAAACAGTTATAATAATTGATTTTGGACAATGCGCAAGTCAAAATGAAATATAAAAAATATCCTACAGAATGGTTTGTATTTGGTTCTGTCTGCAGATTCTTACTTGCCGATTGATCATCTTGTGACAGGTAGAGCAAAAAGAAAAACAAAAGATGGTTTGAGGTGCGCTTGACCTCCTCACCAGAACTCCAGTCAGCATAGCAGGTGGTTCTTTCACAGCTGCAGCCTGTTTCAGTAGGTAGTGCACATGTTCTAAGCTTTCCACAGGACTAAATTCATTTCCATCAGAAGCTGTAGGTTCCGTGGTAAAGCCGCTGCCAGCACCGCGGCAAGCAGCTGGGGAGCGAAGTTCTACAAATTGCAATGTCCATTAGGATTTTGGAATAGTTTGTATTTTGAATATTCATCTTTACCATCTACAGATGGCCGAGCACAGGGATCGTATTTCCATCTGCTCGGTGAAGGAAGTCTATGTTGTTGTTGTGTCAGCCAAGGAATTCACAGATTGCTTTCAAATTGTTTAGTCACACAAGTTGCTTCTCCTATATGTGTATAACAATAACATTTATAATTCTATAGGGTCCTGAAGATGTACACTCCCTTTACAAGGTATACCCACAAATAGAAATAGTGAACTGGGAAACAAGATTGAGAAAAAAAAGTGGCATGGGATTTGAATAACATCATGCCTCACCTGATTAAAACTGAATTAAACCAACTTCATCAACTCCACTAAGGGAAAATAGATCCTTAAGGTACGGTGTGAAGGATTTGACGGAATCTAGCGGAGGGGTTTCAGTTTGCATCCAACAGAAGTGATCCCCCGTGTCAGGCAGTGTGGAGGCCAGTGTTTGGTCCGTCTCCTCTAGGCTGCAGAAGCACAGTAGTGTCACAGAGTGGACCACAGATATAAATGGCTTGTCCTCCAGTCCCCCAAATACAACCCTTATTATCAGTAATTAAGTGCTAAAGAATCTATTGTGGATGCCATTCATACCAATAGATACCTTAAATGCTACACACTGGACTTTCATATTTGAAATGTATTTTTTCAAGTAAAGAAATGCCATCAAAGTCCCGTTCACATTAAGGGAAGGAAAATGTCCTTAAACAAATGATTCTTTAAAGAAATACAGATATGCAAAGATATAATTGTAGCAAGATGCAGGAGTCAGTGTAACATTATGCTAACAATCGCCACAAATGGATATATTGAACCATACATTTCCAATAAAATATTCGTCCATTGTATAGAACTTTTCATGCAAGATTATAAAGAACACCATCTAGAACAAACTGGACAGAAAAATCAACACGTGATTTTAGAGCATCCTGTCAGGTAGTGTTCCACAAGGTGTCAGTGTGGGATCATGCGTGTTTCCCCAACAGCAAGGAAACTGATGAGATTTTTAACCCAGATAAACACGTTGTGTGCTTGCAGCTTAATGAACGACAATTCATACAGAATAAATATTGAAAAATATGATCTTACTGGTGTCTTATGAGATAATCATATTCTTGGTGGTATTAGAAATATATTCCCCAAATGTAGCACTCTGTATTGCCATCAACCAAAATTGATTTACATTGTAGTAATTCCAGTAAAAAAGTATTCTTTTGCTGTTATGATAAACTGAATGTAGAATTGGTAAAAAAAAAAGTATTCTTTGAGTAGAATCGTATATTTAAATGAATACATAATTCAATGATTTCTGGTAGAATGTAATTTATTTACTCAAGTACTGCACTGTACAATACAGAGGTATTTTTTACTGTACTTATTTCCAGTATTACACATATAGTATTTCCATTTTACGCAACTTTCAAGCCTCTCAAGTTTATAGACAAATATCATATTCCTTTTGACTCCCTTACAATTGACAGCTTTAGTTACTTTAATGATACAAAATATAATTTTACTAAAAACTGACTTATTGTTGTAGGTTCAGCCATCCAGCAGTACATAGTTAAATGTGATGCAGACACTATTGCATCCATCATTATAAAATTACACTATTCTGAAATGATCCAATCTGGATGATGAGTGAATTTTCTTCTGGTACTTTAAGTGTTGCTTCGTCCGTGGAGAAAGGGTAGCTTAGAAGAGACGCTACAGGTGGCTACAAGAAAAAGTAATAAAAGTCAATATCACACTAGTGGCTTTTTTGATCTTTCATTTTATAGCAGTTTTTGAAAAAGTGTTTAATATCTAAATATGCAAATATAGACAATATCTAATACAAATTTTTAGTGAACTGAATCTAGAGATAAAAATTATTCAGTTACATGTGAACGTTGCTTTCTTTATAGATGTCTGAAAGATGACATCATGGAAGCCCAAAATCTCCGGATTGACCCAGAGTGTTGCTTTGCAAATTAAGAACCGTGCCACCAATAGAAATACATTGCAATGAAAAAATAAAATGTTCTACTGACGAGTTTACTGAAAAGCACCACATTGATATATAGATGCACTTATGCCTATGCCACTAAAATAGCAATAGCATTTTCGATTATTCTTTTCTGAATAACTTGATGCTGAATGATTGGCTGTTAATTACAAACTCTTGTTGATGTGTTTGCTGTAGATGGAGATTGTTTGTTTCTCCAGGAATACCAATAATCATTGCAAAATTACCAATCTTCTCAATGATCAATTTTTCCCACTAAATTATATTAGTTTCTTCACAGTTGGTTCTTCTTCTGTACCGACTGTGAAGGTCCAAAGGCAAAGGATGTCGCAGGGTGTTACGTTCCGTGCTAGGGTCAGGCAACGTAAACAAAATAAACGCGAGGGAAATAAGGAAACTAGCAGAGAACAGCGGATAGGGCAAACAGTAATCAAGAATTTATTATTCTTAAATTAAATCCCCAAAAATCCCCAAGAAACCAGACAAAACCAACAGGCCTCCAGAAGTAGGCCATAACGAATACTGGGCCTCTCCCTCTCTGACTCTCACTCCGAGGCTGGTGGACTGCGTCACTGATGGCAGCCAAAACAGCAAACGCTTCTCTCCCTGCACGAGCCGCTGGATGATGTCATCCAAAGCTTTTTAAAGGCGCCGGCTCTGATCGCGCACCCAATCGGGATGGACCCTCAATTAAGCCTTCTGCTGGGCTGTCTGTAAAACACGGAAAGACACAAGTATACACAGGCCACCAACAATGGTCAGGGACGTAACACCAGTTTACAGATTGTAGAACCCCTGAAGCAAATGGGTGATTTGGAGCTGTACAAAATACAATAATTTTAAAAAATCACTCTTGCGATAGGGTGAGTATGTTTACTGAAAAGGATCGAGGTTTGAGGAGATCCCATCACCTTCATCACAAAGAGGACTTTTCTCACTGTGCGCTGCACGTATCCTTCTGCCTGTCACAGGATAAAGCAGAAGGAGCTGCTCCGTCAGCGCCAGAAACATCTTTCAGACGGCAAAAAGCGGCAGTATGAAGTAACTCATTGAGAAAGAAAAACAACAACTTTCAGCTCAATCATTTGTTTTACTTATAAGGCTTATAAGTCTTTTCTCTGCCTGTGTGAGTGTCTTGCCTGGCATCCACAC